TACATATTATTGATAAAAATATGAATATTTTGAAAATCTACGAAAAAATATCTGTGACCCAGACAAAAAATTTTCATAGAAACTGTAGGAACACTTAAATAAAATTTTTACAAATTTCTATCAAAATAGCATACTTTTTGTCAAATTATCTTATATTAAATGCATGCATTGAACACGGAAATAATTGTCTTATATTAATCTTCAATCGCAATATAGAATAATACTCTGCTGTACAATTTAAATCATTTATAATATGAAAATAAAATTCACCCCGATATTCATTTCTGCACCACATTTTATTTTAGTATCACCTTAATGAAATTTAATAAATTTTTTTATATTTATTTTCAATTGAATTTGATAAATTTGTATTTATCATAAATATTAAAAATACGATATTAATTTTTTTATTAAAAATATCAAAACACAAAACAATAAAACTTTTGTTCTTTGTTCACTATTTCAATGACAAATACGCTTTCTTCCTTAGCGCTTTATTTTCGTTTCACAACCGTAATTATAAAAATCGATTTTAATCCCTGAATTATTATCGTTAAATGTTTGTTTCGCTTTTTATTACAACTATTATTATCAAGTAATTTACGTTCAATAATATATAATGTTTATATGTATGTAACATAGGTGCCTATAATTATGTACAAATGTATCTTTATATAAAATAAAACATTTTCACGCTTAAAATATAAAGTTTAGCTATACTGACTGTGCAAAATTAGAATTATTTAGCAAACAAAAGAAGGATATAAAATTTTATGCCTCAAATTTTCCTTTTTCTTTTGTGCCTCAATTTTTTTGCCAAAGCATTAGAATTATTTTTTATTATTCCAGATGTAGTTAAACCAAAAATCAAAAAAATTAATAATAAGTTGAATAAAAAACAAAATGGTGTTCTTGCAAAACGCGTATGCGTATTTGGTAGAATTTATACTTATACGATACTAGTTTAATAAAGTTGCATAATATTTCTCTTTTGGAAAGGTTAAAGGTTTGTATTATGTAAGATCAAAATTTCTTTTTGAAGAAAATTTCCACAAACAGCTCTGTAGCTTGTTTTTCTTTCTTATTTTGAAAATGAATATTAATGATAACAATGTATTCAGCATTAATAAATACAATTTTAGCACTTAATTTTTAGGAAATGAATTTAAAATAAAAAGACTTTAAGGCCATTGCCATTAAACTAACGTATCGTGTAGGATCCAAAACTTAAGGTAATAAAGATTAAAAGTGTTAGGTAATTTAAAAAATTTTTGCGTTTATTATGCTTTATTTTAAGAATCGTTCTTAGCATTAATGTACACATATACTATTAATGTGTATTTATGAAATGTTTTTATAAATAGATTAACGCACATTCTTTACAAAAGGGGATTCTCTAATAGAAAACTTGACAGCTATTTAGTCTTATTATAGCTCTCTTCTACTGATTTCTTCCTAATTTTTTTCAAATATCAATACCTTTATTTTGCAGCATTGGGAGCATTTTAAATTAATCTAAATCACAATAAAATTCATTGTATTTTTGATGAATTCGGTGACTCCTCACTTCATATTTTACACCGCAAATTTTTTTTTTGTCCAGTTCACAAAGAAATAAGTATGTCCTTTTGTCATACATCATGTCAAACTGTCAACGGTTGTTTGGCAAATTCGACATAATAAGCTTATAAAACTACTTATATATAAGATAGTGGAAATAGGATTAATATACCTCTCAACTTGATTCTTACCTGCATATTTTGCTTTACATGAGGAAATTAACAAAAATATGTTGGATAATAGAGTTAGCTCGTTTCACATTTATTTGTGTGAAATTTTAATACGCTTAGCTTGGCAATTCTCGATATTCACCTTTTAGTATTCAACACTAAAATTAGTGTTTCTAGTGTTGAATACTAAAAGGTTAATTAAATAGGATTCTTACAAAATAAATTAACACATTTCGTCAAAAAAGTTTCTTTTGTTTCAAAAATTTTCAAGCTCAATTGGAAAACGGTACATTTAAAAAAAAGGCAAAATAAAGTGGTATAACGAAAATATGATTGCCATAAAATGGCAAGCAAAATTTGTTACGGTACAAGAATCTGAAAAATGGCACAAATACCATGAAAATGGTACGTTTGACTGTACTGGTTGTTAAAACGTTATACTGGGGCAATTGTATTCTTGCTCTCTTGAATTTTTGTACATTAATCTATAATTCTTGAAAAAAATGCTTATTAGTTTCACTCTGTCCGTTCGCCTGTCCGCGAACATGTGTACCAAACTTTTAAATCCTTGAACATAGCAAGCAGAGATTTTATATGTAAATAGATTTTTAATAAAAATTTATTTCCGTAGGAGAAAATTTTTACCTATCTCCTCCCCCTCTCGAAAAGTATACACTACTGACATTTTCTTTTATTTATTATAGAAACCATAAATATTTTTGAAATCTTACAAATGCAGAAATTTAGTCCTTTTCTACAGCGTCACAGCAATAACTGAACATCAAAAAGACAAAATATCCGTTATAATTAAAGGTTAGTTAAAATATACTTTTTCCAAATTTTTGATATCGTTTTTCCTTTAGACTTAAACATGTTTAGCAGTCTGAAATTTTAGCAGCTTTTAATATTAACAAATAATTTATTTCGTTAGAAAAAAAAAATTTAAAATTTTAGATCCCCCCTTCAAATTATCGCCTTTCGAAATTTCTAAAATTTAAATTTTAGGCACCTCATATTTCCGAAAATCTTTAAAAGACTTTGGTATATGAATGAAAGTAATTTTAATGATGTAATTTTTTAATAAGAATAGTGTTTACTTACTGAATGGAAAAGTGCTTCTTTAAAAAACTATTGGTTTTAATCACTTTTATTGAATTTGGGACACTTTAAAAACATATAGCGAAACATTCTTTCAATTTCTACTTAAAATTTTGTAGAAAAACTTTGGTGCAAATTTTTTGTTTGTAACAGAGTTTAGTAATATTTATTATTTGATTAAATAATTGCCTTATTCATATTAGTTACCTTTTAGTTGAGTAGGTTAACCATTTTCAGTATTGTTTGATTTAGTGTATAATGTGTTCTATATAAATTTTATGGCTGAGTATTGATTATTTTTAATGTGTGTTTCTTTGTCGTTTTTATACTTCTAGAAAAGTTAAATTACTTTTTTGTTATTTTAGGTTTATTATAATTTTCGATTTTATTATTACATTCCAGTGTTATGGAGTAAAAAAGAAAAATTATTTTGTTTTGCTTTGTTTTGCTCCTTTTTTTCTTTCTGCCTTGGCAAAAAAGTATATTATTTCAGAAATCTTAAATGTCATTCTTCTCCACCCATTTACGAAGTGAATTTCGATGATAGGGAAAATAAATTTTTAACCTAAAATCACTAACAAAAAAATTTATTTTCTAGCAATAAGGATCGTTATAATAACAGCATAATGTGAAATGAAAAAATTTAAGGAAGTTATTGTTGAAAGTAATGAATAACTGTAAAAATTGTTGAAGCATTACAATTTTTTTTGTAGATACTATGTACGTATATCTACAAATATATCTACATATTTATTTTGCGTGTTATATTCATAATATAATATAGAAATATGGACATACTGTTATGTACATATAGTGTGAAACGTATTTGGACTCGTTTATTTTTCATGTAAATTTCTTTTCTTGTGTCCTATTCTGAAATCTACTGCAAAATTAGAGAAGAAAAAAAGCAGAAATGGAGTTCCTTATTTTAACATCCAATTTACATATTTTGGTTTTCCCTTTTTTTATACATTTTTTGCAATGTAATTTTTAACGCAAAAAGTTATAATCATTCAATTTGATGTATTCCTTTACCATGAATTTCATGAGCAGAAAATAACACACATTTTCATTTACTTTACTTTTGAAATATTTAACTACAAACTAAATGAATGGGGTACCAAAAAAGTAACGTCATCATTTAGGTAGTAACTGTTTAAAATATGGATTTGACTCATGTTTAGTGCAATCATTACTTATTTATTTTTGAGTAGTTTCTAAGTATCACCGTTAATATGATAATAATGTCCATTATAAACAAATTTAGTAGAATTAATTTAGTAAATAGTTAATAAATTTAGTTAATTTAGTTATTATTTCCTGTACCAGAGTATATATTAGAACTTTTCTTGTCTTTAAACTAATGATAAAATTAGTGGTAACATCGTAATATTTTATTAATTTGAAATCGTAGTATTTTCTCAATTTGTATTGATAAAATATTAATAGTTTCTTTAAAAATCGTAAAAGAATGCACGTATTTGTAGTTAAGAAAGTTGCTAATATTAACAAGCTAACACATCACTATACTAAGATACATGGATTTACGCACACAACGAATGGAGCACGTTGCCATAATCAGTTGTATCACTAGAGTTACGATACATTTTGTCCCAATTGGGAAAATTCAATTGAAGGTTGATGAACACTTACTATTACGAATGTTAATATGTGGTTGTTAATGAACATACCAGAGTTGACTTTATATACGAAATGTATTTTTAACAGAAATTTTAAAATATTGTGTTAAAATAATGTTAGAATTTTTAAAATGTAATGTTGTCACGTTCAAACAACAACAAAAAATGGAGGAAGTTTCCAATTATCCTTTTCAGCGCGAATAAAATTATATAATGTATGATGTCCGATTTTTATTATTGTTCTTACATTTTTTTTTGTTCTACGAAAACAAAAAACATTTTATCATCACAACTCCATTTTTTTTGTGTTTCTTATGCGTCGACCTAAATCGTAAAATTTATGTAAATTCATTCATTTATTCTAAGTGCAATTTGAAAACAATAAAAAAAATCTTTTTTCTTCTACAGTCCACCCTACCATTAACATTTTGCTATACATTTTTTTACTAATTTTGTATTTTTTTATCCTACATAAAAAAACTTATACTAATATTATTATAACACTTGATTTTTTTTCGTTTTTTTTTTTCAGGTATAGTAACAAAAGGAGAACAAGAAAAAAATCTATGTAGATCCTTCAGTGCAGGAAAATTGTAATTAAACTTTTTTAAGAGTTTTTGCAGAAATATAATAATTTTTTTATTAGTATTAAGGCGTAACACAAATCTAAAATTTCTAGAGTGAACACAAAAAATGAGGTGAGAAAACATGGTTTTTACATAAAAAATTTTTGGGGGAACAAAAAAAATTTTTTTTTGCTTACACTTTATGTATTTGGATCATAACAATTTATTACTTGACATGATTAGTTTAAATTTAAAATTAAAATTTTTAATATGAATTAATACATTAACATTGATTAAAAAAAAAGAATTAAAATCAAATCACTTAATTCTAGGACATTTTTATTTATATGTTATGTGAACTGGCACATTTATTTGCATGAGTATTTGAAATTTCTCATAAAAAGTTAATGGGCTTAGCACTTAAAATTAATATTATATTTGGGTTGTTTGTTTTTCAAATATTTTTATCAAGAACATGCATGTAGTACATGTTTACAAGATTGAGTTACCTATACCTTTATATAGAAGGGAAATATTGATTTATAAATAGGACGCCTATTATAAACGCAATCTTATATTTTTTTTAAATTTTTAATAATTATGTAAATTTTTATAAAAATAAGGGCGAAAAACCATATTACAAAAGAAATTTCAAAAATTTAAGAAATATTAATGAAAAACAAAATCAATTTGATCGTCGATGTGCTAAAAAAGAACACTTATTGTACAACTTAATTAAAAATATATGTAATTCAGGTTACAAGGAAATTTAGAGTTATTAGAATTTTAAAGAAAAGGTGTACAAAAGATAATGTTAGAAAGAGGGTTTATTTAAAAGCAGTTATTTCTTTATTGAACAACTTCGAAATATTCTGATAAAATACAGAAATAAAAAGGTTTCGAAATTAAATTTTTACACTTGCCGTATTAATTTCACTTTATATTTTTTTTGTGTATGAATTTGTAAATGCATTTTTAGTACAACTAGGAAAATTAAAACAGAATCCTAATATTGCGTCCTAAAAATTTTATAATTTATTTGAAAATTTATTTTCAACACATTTATATACAAATACATATTAATTTTTAGGTATTGTGTGGAAATATTTGTAATTACTTAGAAATATTCAGTAACTTAGTGAACCTCTACTTTATTTTATATTGTTTTTATATTATATGAACTAAATTTAGTAAAATTTTTTGTCATATAACATTGTACTATACCTATACCAATATATTAAAAAAACTATACATATTTGTTCAGTATATTGTCATAATATTCACAAAACTCAGAAGAATTAGAATCGTTTCATTGCACGAATTTTACTGGAATTTGTTTCTCAAAATTGGGTCAAGCTATTGACTATGGATGCTATAAGTATAATTAGATATAGCAATAATTACATGACATTAATAACTGTATGTACATACATTTTTAACATAACCCCAACAATCTTAAATATGCTTTATACTTGAAAAATATGATTGGTGTATTATTTTATATTTATAAGTTTAAAATTTTTAAGTCCAATATTTCGAATTAGAAAATTTAATATAAATTTAAACTTTAAACAAATGATGTTCCTACTGCAGTTAAAATTTAAAACACACCGAAAATAATTGCCAGTCATGTCTTTAGCACTATTATTTCAATTTTATGGAGAATTTCTGAACATAAATGAAATTACTTGAATATTTTTCTTGACATTTAAAACTAAATCCTAATAATTCTATAAAATTTCAATATTTCACTCACTTGTTATAACAGAACCTTAAGGAAAATGCTTTAGTAAATCAAATTCTGCATCGTGAACTTTCTTCTCTAAATATTTTTCGTTATTTATAGCGAAATTGTGTTTATACTTTTTACTACTTATAAAATTAATTATTTAAAGTTAAAATCAATTCGTGAAAATAACTAAGTTACTTTTTTTCTATGCATGCAGTATCATGGACGTTACATCATATGACGTTTTCACATTAAATAATTATTATAAGCACATTCCAAACAGTTCGCCTCACAATGCAAGGCTCTCATTAAGTAGCAACTCGTATAATTATGATAAAAGAAAATCAAAGCTGTGCTATATTAGTTAAGAGGGCAGGAGTTTTAATATTTTATTCGAAATTAATGTCATATATCCTGTTGAGAAATTCAATTAATACTGTAAAGCTTAAAATCATAATGTATATCTACTTATATATGCATGTCAATTTCATCAAATCAAACCTGAATCAAAAGTGTATAAATGAGAATATTACATACATATATTTGTATTATAATATAATATACTGGTGTACATGTTATTAATGTACATACATACATACATATTATGAAATACATTTAATTTATATGAAAGCATTTTACTCATATCCTTTTTACGGACCCCATGGTAGAAAAGTGTAAATAAACAATTTTTAGCAACTTATCGGTCTGTCGGTTTGTGTGTGTACACGTCTGTCTGAAGTTCGGCTGAACCGATTTTAATGAAATTTAATTTATATGTAAGTTTATTTCGACTATGGCACGGATTGATCAACTTTTGGGGATATATCAGGACTCGGGAACTGGACCTTTTAACGGGCAGGTTTTACATTTTTGATAATTTTGAAGAAAATATTCATCAGATTTACTTGAAATTTCATATAAGCTTCATTCGACCGTACGCGAAACCTCTTAACTTTCGGAAAAAATCAGATGTCAGCAACTGGACGTTTACTACGGGTCAAATATACATTTTTGCGTGTATAAAGAGAAATAATCAACCAATTTCATTGAAATTTAATATTTAAATTCTTCGTATTAAAACAATGAAAATATGTATAATTTTTTGGGAGAGATCGGGGTTCGGAAACTGATCTGACCGATTTTACATTTTCAATCATGCCTTCGGAACGAATTGATGGAAATTCTTGAAATTTGATATTTGAGCTGTGAATGCTACCAGAAGTTACTTACGAACTTTTCGTATAATTTAGCCGGCGTAAAATGAAACTCTACTAAGAGCCAAATTCACATTTTTCTAGGTATTTTAACTAAAAGCTTATTAGTGTCCTTAAAATTGTAACAAAGTGTTTAAAACGAATTCACATTATCTTCTGGACTATTTTTACTAATCTAGACAATGTACGGTCAGTTATGTGCTGACTTCATCAGATTTTTTATTTTGTATTAAATCACTGTTGCAACATGAAAATAAATTTGTTAAAGTGTATTTACGTCTGGTTCGAGAATACTTTAACTTACATGTTTGCCTTTTTTATTATATGCCTATATGTATATACATATGTATATATGAATTTGTTTTCAATTTTTTAATTCTCCAACAAAAAAAATATTATGTTTCGTATAATGTAAACAATATATTAGTACATTACCTATATCTGAAACATAAGTATGTTGTATCTATCTTCTATACTGTACCCAGTAAGTGTATATGTATGTATGTTCATATACCCAGAAATAATCTTTTAAATGCGAATATTTTGTATGCAACTGTATACAAATGTAATATACTGTATATCAGTAAATTTTTATGCTTTTGTAAAAATGTCACAATAATTATTGTAATAACACAAAAATGTATGTATTTGTAAATATAAACATTTAATATAGACAAACTTGAGGTACATAAATGATGACTGTTATGGACATAAGAACTTCCTTGTCTTAAGCAAATATTATATATACGTAAGGCAGTAACATAAAGTAACTCACATCCCAAAAGAAGTCATCATAATTTACCCAGAGAAGAAAAAGAAAAATAATAAAAATACTTTATTGTTATACAATCATAATAAAATATCATTTTCATAATCATCATCATTTTAATCATTACAAAGAGTAATTCAACTGAAACAGAAATGATAAAAACGGAAAAAAACTTATAGCTGCTATAGGATTCCCTTAACTTATATAATTCATAAAAAAATGTTGATGTGATAATTCCATTCATAATGTATAAGTACTGAATATTTCTTTATATGAAAATTAAAGTTGGAGGTACGTTTATTTTAGCTTAGAAATTACAACAAAGCTTCTGAATAAAACATCTTGCCAAAATCAGTTGTCCTTTACCATTTTATTAAATGAATACTATATTAAAAGAAATATTCTTCCATATAATGCGTAAAACTTTAATTAGAGCAACACAAAACTTTTAACTCACAGCAATTTTAGACCACCCTAAAATTAAACTCTAAATTAACAAACTATTTGGTGAACTACTAAAAACTTATAATGTACTTTCAGTCGCAAAACGTTACGAAGATTTTCATTCATAATGTTAAACTCTTAATTTTTTTTCATAACCTTTTCTTTATTCCTAGGTAAGAAGAAGGTAAAAATCCAATGTAATTTTGTCGCGTAAAGTTGAAATTACAAACGAAACTCAAATATTGTAAAAAAATTGCAAAAGTTATTTGCATATTTGTAAAACAAAAACGATGAAACAGAAATTAAAAACTGTGTAAAATGAAACAAATAAAAGCGGCACAAAAAAATATAGACTTATAAATTCACATACCTAAAGTGTAAATGAGAAGGAAATATTCTTTGCATCATCATCATCAAATGAATGAAATTTTACATTCATAATGTTAAACATTACGATAATGAGGAAATTCATAAAGGATACAAATATACTTATGTAAAACAAAATAAAGGAAAAAAGGTGGAAAAAAAATGCATGAAAAAAAAAGGTACTTGAACTCACTATGTGGTTTCCTTTTTATTACTGTTTTTTTTTACTGTTCATATTATATACATACATAGCATTTGGAATTAGATATAATATTTAATATAGGCAATGGAGTGAAGTGACTGACATGTTTAAGAACATGAAAAATAATAATAATAATTACGAAAAATACATATGGAAATCTAAACTCAAAAAGTCAAGAATGTGAGCAAATTATGGCGACCCTTTTTCTTTTGTATTAATAATTATGACTTGTAAGTTTTTTTTTTATATAGCTTCATTTTTGTTCATAATAATTATGAATACAAACAATTAATAAATATTTCAAATTATATTTTTAAGGTTCAGTTTATGGGCACAAAATTCTTACAATAATTAAATCAGTTTAGCAAATAAAATATTGAAATTCTAACCTCCAAAAGATTGTTGACGAAAATAATTAAGAATACTTGGAAAATCTATTTTACTTTAAATAAAATTAGAGGATTTTAAACAAAGTATACCTATACTTATTATAATTGTGTACAATAAAATTAAATTTACAGATACGCAAAAATAGTAGCATGTACTTTTGTTATTTAAAGTGTTTGACAACTGCACTTTGGCTATGTTATAATAATTAACTTTGTAAAGTAACATATTTCCTATTAGTAATTTTTGTATATAACTATTTATATATAAATTAAAAATATTATATATTTATGTATTTACATAGCTTTAGGTTTAAACTGGCAAAGCATTTCTACAGCATAGGAAACTTATAGTATAA